TATATATATATATTATTCTGAATGTGCATATATATACCTTCATATTTCCAGCTCTTTTGCCAAATTTCTCAGACAAAACACCTAAAGAATCGATAATTCCAGCAGGAACAGGGGCAGGGCGACCAACTTCAGCGAAAGCTGCCTTAATACGAACACAATCAAATCTCTGTATGTTATGACCTGCCCAAATCCTACCATCCAATATGCTGAATATCTTTTCTGCAACTTGTTCAAATGAAGGTGCATTAGCAACTGCTTTTCGCGAAATTCCATCGCTTCTCCCTGGCTTTAATGCCACAACAGACAAGTCCCCTGGCCTAATAAGGGTGCAGTAGCTCTCTATCTCCACAAGCTTTCGCGAACAAATTACCATTGCACCAAACTCTAACACCCAGAATTTCTGTCCTGCTTTTGATGGAACGTTCGTTTCCAAGTCGAAAAACACAATCTCTGGTGCCCTTTTGTTGCTTGAAATGGTAGGAATTGCCATTGTTTTTTGATATTTAAGTTGTAAGATAGCTTGTTGTTTGATGAAGTGATGGAAATTAAATGATGGTTTCTTTGTTATATATATGAAAGAAGAATGCATGGGAAGGGGAAGAAAAAAGAATGTAAAGATGAAGAATATTCTTGCATGTGTGAGAGGGACATTAATTGGTAGATTGTCTTGTAATTCAAGTTAGACTAAGTTTTGATGTTTGGACAAAGTTGTCCTTAGCTTCTACTTGATGATGTCCTTTGTTAAGGAATTCCAGTTAGATAGGAAACATTCCTTTAATTTCCTAGCCTCCTTAGTCCTTGGGATTAATTGCACATAATATTGTATATTCTTAGTTGTTCCTAAAAATATTAGCTGATAAATTGTATATATGTGTATTATATAAAAAGATGTATATTTTTATACACTTTTCGGCCAGCGAATTTAATCCGACCGGCCAATTTTATATTTTGTCCTAATATTAGTTGGATTGCGTTGTCATTTTGGATTCTTTTACTTGCATATTCCAATTTTTTTTTATTTTTTTTTTTTACATACAATAGAAATGTTTTCAAAATCAATTTAACGTGAACCTATTCTTTTATTCCGATATAAAATTGCATTCTCTAGTAATTGGATGTTTTGCCAGTATGCTCTTTGTCTTAAGTAGAATTAACATGCCTTTTCCAGTTTGATGACAAACTTGACCATTTTAAAAGTTAAGATGGAAAATGATCAACTTATATATTATCAAACATGAATATTTAGAAAGCATAAAAAAGTTTTTTTTTTTTTTTAACAAAGTACAACTTTATAAAAGTATTTCTGAAAAGGTTTAATACTTGGTAACGCTAAAACAGTTCAGCTCTGCAAAATTAAAATTAAAATTTTAAGTTGGACTCAAGATGAACATAATAATAAAAGAAAAGGAAAAAGAATAAAAAGATACAGGTTTGAATGGCAATATAAAAAATAAAAATAAAATGGTACGTTTTTTTTATTTAACTAAAGGGAAAGGTAGACGACTGATTCGAAAAATAAACATGCACACACTAATGCTTTTTTGAGAGGTTAAAAATAGTATAACCCTCCTAACAGTTAGCATTTTTATTTTGTTATTAGAGTTGAAGCAAAGGGGAAGTCCAACAAGATAAGCAATTCCCTGTTCTCTTCCGTTAGTTAAAACGTTACCAGAAAAGTGGGGCACGTATGCTCACATGGCACCATATCACACGTTAACTCTTTTTGACCAGTTAAATTATGTCAAACTTTATTTCGGACGAAAATATAATCAAAATAAGTAAATTAAATTATAATCATAATTCACTTTCTGAAGGATTCAGAAAGTGAAACATAAATAAATTAAATTCATCAATGTGGTGTCATCGCTTTAATATGAAATTGAACTTTATGGTCGAGTTACCCTCTTTTAAATTAACGGCGAGAGAATTTTTATTACCAACTTCTAACACAGGCATATAGTTAAGCAAAAGTCAATAGTAAATGAGCAAATTATTGAATCATTCAGTATGGAAATTTTCTTTTAGAAAGGGCTCTACGCCGGATACAAAAACAAGGAAATCCAGACTCAATTATTTGCACACAAATCAACAAGTTCAATTTTCTCAAGATCCGGGAAAATAATTGGCAGTAATGCACTTACGAATACATGAAATGACAGAACATGGAAGGTCAGGCTACAAACTATTATACAACCTTTTGTCTGTTGGTGCATTCAAATTAGTATGCATAATTGATGCATGTTTTAAACTGGGACATGAGATCTAAGAGTAACCAATGCTTTCTTGATTCTCTCCACTGCTGCCTGCAAGGTCGAGAGGGATGCTGCATAGGAGATACGGATGCATGTGTCATCCCCAAATGCATCTCCTGGGACAAGCGCTACCTGTTAATGGTAAGAGAGAGGCGCAGGCATTAGGATTTAGGACATGCAGAAAAAACGGGAGGCAACGCCGGTACTAGCATCCTAACGTAATGCACATTCACTAAACCACGATAAACTATCGGATTTTTTTAGGATTGTCTTTCTGGATTTTTTATCAATAATTATTGATTATATTTGCCTAACAATCCATAGTGACAGAGTGAAGGTGGAAACCTTATCTGCAGAATCCCTATATTAGATGCTCAAGTAGATTGCTCACTCACATGGTGAAAGTAGCAAGAAGTTGCAGTATTCGTATTTTCTGGAAAAAAATGCCAAGAGACTGTAATGCAAGTCACTTTTAGTGCGAACAACTTCTGGCTTATAGTTAGCTAAACATCTTGCACATCTGTCGGTATGTAATTATGCTTTTCAGTGTTCAAAAAACCGTGAATCTTACTTGAGCTTTATCCAGCAAATATCGGCAAAGAGATTCTGAGTCGTTGATGGAGCCAAATCCATCAACCTCTACTCCATAATAAGAGCTTAAATCAATAAATAGATAGAAAGCTCCCTGCAAAAGAAAACAGAAAGTGGGCTCAATATATCCCGTTTCTCTACTTTGTAAGTACACTCATAATTCATATTAATGAACTGTTACCCGAGGCTCTGAAATTTTGACACCATCTATTTCCCCAAAGCTCTTGACAAGGTAATCACGTCGCTCACGAAATGCTTTTACCATAGTTGCAACTGCTTCTCCACCAGCATATCCAAGTCCCAAAGCAGCGACAGCTGCTTTTTGGGAGATGCTACTTGCACCTGATGTGAACTGAAAACAGCAGAGAAATAGCTTTAGAAGTGAA